GCTTCTTCAAAGCAATACGCCGCCGTTTGTGCTGGAGGACACGTGGGGTAACAAGACGCTGAATCTTAGGCGCTTTGGTTCTAGGTTTTTTACCTTCTTTGTTTAGGGGCTTTCTCACAACATACTGGCGGACATCATCTTCTTTAGAGAGATTGAAAAGTTTGCGGATTCTGCTGGCTCTTTTGGGCCCCAGGCGACGAGGCACAGTAGTATCAGTGAGTCCAGGAGTATCCTTCTCCCCTTTTTTTACAATGACCAAGTTGAGAACACTGAGATTGGCATCCACAATGTAACCCCGAACAGATTTGCGCTTTCTCTCTCCAGTCCTCCTTGGTCTATAGCAGGAATGCCCCTTACTCAGCAGCAGGCGGACACGACCATGGGTCAAGACACCTTGCTTCATGGGGAAGCCCTGTTTGTCATTGCCACCACTGATTCGGACCACATAACCCTTCCATTCTTCACCCAGAGCATCAGCAGCAACTTCTGTGGCCATACGCTTCTCATAAAAGGTACGAAGTTTGTGTTCATCGTCCACTTCAATGAGTTTCTGGCAGCCAGTAGCTGGGAAAGAGATGTTCAGCTTCATCCTGAAGCAGCCTACCGCCTCCGAGGCGCCACGAAAAAGAGCGTGAGTAGCTTTTTTGTAAGCAAAACACCTGGTAGAGATTGAATGTAGGAGAAGCTTTAGAAAATGGTCTCTTTTTAACCGATTCAAACTCCTATGAAATTTCCTTCAAATGTAGATCTGCATAGAAATGGTCAGATTTCCAAATGGCTGGTGGAACTGAGAGTCGAAAGTCCTCTGGGTTCCTAATCTCGTTTCTGTCCCCTCCTTCACCCAGTTGCGCTCTCTTCCCTGCAAAAGCTTCTTTCAGTCCCTAGTAAATTGGACCTTTTAAGCCCAGAATAATTGCCATCCTGTTTCCATTAGAAGCTGGGTGGTTCCCACAGTGATTCACTGGCTCGCCCTGCCCAGAAGGGACTGAAGTACAGACATCAGCTGCCATTGACTCTTGTTGACCTGGGCTCAGAGATGGACCCAAGAGGGAACGGAGTGCTGCTTGGTTCCCAGAAGATGTTAGAAGGAAAGAAGCCTGCCTGCCTTCTTGGGGGCAAGAAGGGCACTTGAAACAAAGTGATCACATTGGACGCACAGGAACTTTTAGGCCCCATATCTGATGGATCCGTTTTATCTATTTTGAGTTATGGAAAAAGGAGAGAGGTGGAGTTTCCAGACCCAGTTCTGCTACCAACTTTAGGACCTGAGTTTCCTTACCTCAGGTGTGGTGGGATGAGGTCATGATCTCTGAGTTTCTTTTTACCTTGAAAATTTCATGAAAAGGAATCACATATGGCCACTCTGGGTGGTAATATTGCTACTGTATGTTTTCTTTAAACTGAGTCTCAAATCCATTCAATATGAAGTAGATTAGTAACAGGAACTAGAAACTCTGAAGAGGCCACCCTCATATACAGGGAATTTACTGTCTTGCCCTGAGTATTTGTGTTTATTTCTGTTGACTTCCAGGTGGCGGTTGATTCTAGGGAAGTAACATTTATATGAGTCCAAGTGGAGGGAGAACTTTTCTCCCTCACCTCCCCTTCCCAAACAATCCAGCTTAGTTCATCGTCTTGTGTTGACATTACTTATGAGTGCTAATGAGCTCATAAATGCTAATTAATAACTCCATGTGCTTCTATTTGCTGGCAAATATAGGGATCCAGGTGCGGTGTAGACCTGGCCCTGAACACAGTACCTCTCTCCATCTCTGAGCCGAGAACATGGGTGGGATGTCTCTTGTAGTCCTGCCAAAGTCGGGGGCCTTACACTCCTTTTAATATACACAGGAGCTATAATTAAACTCTTACAAAGCACCCTCTTCTGATTTCCCAGAGAAGAGCAACCAGGGTCAAATCCGGCAAGTAGCAAGGTTAGGTTGAACAACTTGCAGTCTTTGGCGGGGGAGGGCAGTGGTGGGCAGGGAAGAGTCCCCGGCCTGGCCTGGAGACGTCGTCCCCTTGGCCCAGAGTGGGGCATGCCTCTCAAAGAGGCAGCGTGGAGAACTCTGCAAGGCTGGACGGAAAGGTCAGTGGGGCCCGGGGAGCACGGCACCCCAGCGCCTCTATTCTCTGACAGGTGTAGCTGCCTCTGCCTCCTCCAGCTGGTGGTGAGCTCCATCCAGCCAGGAGCTCAGGCTGCCGGAAGCCAGGCCTCTCGAGAGGTGTGCTGTGTTGGCACTGTTAGGTTGTACTTGTGCTGGTCTTTGGGAGACCCTGAACTTTCCTCAGCAAACAAGATGAAGCCTGGCCTTGGTTCTCATGATACTATTGCTTGGAACCTTATCAAACACTATGCAGCAGGCTTTCACACTGAATTCCTCACAACAACGCTACTGTGTAGTTACTATTTATTACTGCCCCCATTTGAGCAATTTGGTAAACCGAGGCAGAAGGGTTCTACAACTTGGTCACAGTCATACAGCTAGGAATGTAGCAAAGCTGGGATCTGCACGTGGCTGTCACCCCAAGTGACACCCCTCTCTGGATTGCTGCCTTGGGTGCCCCTCCCAGGGCTCCCGCAGACCCCCGCCCGGGGCGGTCCTGCTCACGTGGCTACATGATGTCAGCAGCCCCGCTCCCTAGGGCTCCTCCATCCCCTACCTTTTCAGGACCAGTTTTCCTCCCGGCCTAGAGAGCTGGGGCTTGGATCCAATTCCTCTTCGCAGCTGCAATTACCTCTGAGCCCCCAGAGTCCTTCCTGACTTGGAAATCCACCCTTCCCCCCATCAGGGCTCTCCATTCTTCTCCCGGGCTCCTCTCAGAGGCCCAACTCCATCCCTTAGAAGCACCAGCCTGGCCCTGTTTTGAAAGTCACTGTTAAATCAACTTAGGATTGCTCCCCTCGGCAAGAAAGCCGTGGTTCCCGGGGAGCAGAGCTGAAGGTGAGCACTCACATCCTGTGTTAGACCCAGGCTGGGGAGCAGTGCAAGCTGGTGGTTTTGGACGAGCTTCCCGGGAGCGGCAGAACTTTTCTTTGTAAAGAAAGAGGAGCTTTATTAAGGCTGTGCTCTTTTCAAAGAGGCTTTAGGGGTGGCGAGGCGCAGGATAAAACTGGAGAGGCAGAAAAGGAGTTACTAACCCTCTGTCAGTGCAACATGCTTTGTAAGGGTGGGTGTGGGAGGCGGGAGGGGAGCTCCCCCTCAGTCCCCATCTCCTGGGGTGCGAGGAACACATGGGCCTTTGACACCTCTGCTGCTACTCTCTTGGGCAGCCTGACTGCCCCCGTCCCGCTCCTTGTGGGGGCGGGTGGGGGATGGGGGGGCGCAAGGGTTGCTGGAGGGAGAAGGGGCCCGGGGCCATGTCTGGCCGCCCCGTGCTAGCAGCCGCACAGTCCCGGGGTTAATTGCTTCTGTCCGTTTCTTCTCTTTTCCAGGCCTGGGAGAGTGTTCCAGGAATGGACTTTCCACAGTGTGATAACCTGCAAAGGCAGGCCTTCCATTTCCATTTCAGACTCCAAGTCAGCTGTGTCAAAGTTTGAACCAGGGCCGTGGAGGATAATGGGTCAAAGGCAATTAGCAGCCCAGAGAGCTGCACGTTGCAGTCTGATTTATTTTTTTGCCCATCAGATTCCAAGAATCCTAGTGCTTAAAAGCAACTAAACAATCGCTCTATTGTACTGAAATAAAGCTCAGTTAATTCAAAAATCAATTGCACCACCAGGTGGGGCACACTCTGGCCCCAAACAGATGGGGTTGAAAACTCCCCCAAAATGCAGTCTTGTTAAATTAAAAACTTGATCCAGGAGTGGAACAAATAGGGAGCCATGAATGGAATGGAGTCAGGTCCACTCAGACAAAGTCTTTCTTCTCCCACTCCTTTTCCTTCCTTTTAAAAAGAAAAATTCGCCATGCCACTTTCATCCGCGTTGGAGTCTACGCAGAGAGGCAGCCGTGCACGCTTCGAAGTTCAGTGTGTTACTTTAGTTAGTTTGAAAATTAAAGGGCAACTCCGGCCACTGTGAGTGATTTTGAAAATACATGTGCATCCCATGCAATCCTCTCATGTAATTAATAATCTTATAAACTATATGGCTCACTTTAAGGCGGTCTCAAGGTATAACAAGTCCATTTAAATATCCACTTAATACTTAACAGGATGTGAGGGACACACTGTAGCATACGGGCCCCTCTCAAGTTTCACTGTCTGAAATTTTTCAAAGCTGACCCAAGTCAACCCGAAAAATGTTTAACACCCTGGGCTTGAACACAAGAAACTCTGTGATGAACAGACATTCAATTACATTTTTTAAAAGTGAGAAGCATTTTTGTAAAATAGCGACTCTGGAAACTAATTGGCAGCCGCGAAACTTGTGAGCCAAGGCCAAATCTTGTGGGGAACTTTTACTACAGTAACACGACTCAAAGAGAATGTGAATAAAAGGCATCTTTGTTTCCCAGTCAAATTAGCTGATTAAGAAATAAAACATCTTAACGTGTTTTTAAATGTAGAATTAATTATTTATATGAAAAAAAAATTAAAGCCAGGCTGTGTGAATTCTGCTCTGTGTGTGAATCGAATGGGGCAGAAATAGGGATCCTTGTGGATCCATGGCTTAGGTCATTAAGCAAAACTAACTATTAAGAGCTCCAGTTATTGGGGGAAAAAAATTGCATTCAGATCACATGTTATGCTTCCCATTTTGATTTGCAAAGTCCAGATTAGTTATGGTACACATGAAAAATGTCATTCAGGACAAGAAAACTGCTTTGTCCAAGCCGAGTACTGACAGTTTAGGGGAAGAAGGAAACACAGCCTGTACAAAGAGCAAAGCCAACCCCTGGGAGAGCACAGGCCTTCTGCTCCTAAGGAACCCAGGAAAGATTCACAGAAAGAATCTGAACAGACTGCTCTTTATTTTGCTGGTGGGTGAGTTTGGAACTCAGGAAAACAAGGAAAGCGAAGTTACTCCTCAGACTCACCAGAGAAGTGGGCCAGTGACGTTTGCCATCTCGGACCCCCTGTGTCAGCCCCGGCCCTTTGGCCCTGACCTCTTAACATTCCAGTGTCCTGAAGCCAGGCCCTGCCTGAGCCAAGGCTGTAAATTATCTTCGAGCTGTGGATAAACATCCACCGGATCAGTGTTTTTCAAGGTGGGGCCCAGGGACCACCTGCATCAGGATCACTGGGAGAGCTTTCAAAAATACAGATTCCTGGGCTCAGGGATTACTGGGCTGGATGGGGATGGGGCCCGGGATTCTGTCAGGATGCTGAAATTCAGGAGTCACCAGTACCAGCGTGTGCCCAATAGACCGCTGGAGTCGATTTACTAAACGTCTTTAATGGGTTCCCTTCAGGGAAAGGCATTTACTCAAATGTGGAAAGCCTGTCCACAAATCCTTCCTGAAACAAAAGAAATCCTCCAGTCGTTTTCTTCGTTTCTCATGGCACCTCTTCACAGAGGGAGTATAGGAATGTTTTGCCCTTTAAAATAAGTTCAGGGAGTACTTGAAAAGTCATTTGGCAAGCGATGAGGGATGAGACAAAGGGGGAAGATTAATGACGAACAGAATCAGAGTCCTTGCTAAAATAAAAATGGATTCACACCCAACTTCTTATGAAGGGTAAGACAT